TGCAAAGTCATGAATGACAGCCAAGGCTTCAGAGGCCTGGAACCAAGTCTAGCATAACGTTGTGGCAGATTATGATACTGTTTGTAAAACTTCTGAGTTAAATGTGTTAATCTTATACTGAGGTTAGATCTCTCCATTTCCCTGACCAGCCAGCATGGGACAAGTGGAGAGGCAGGGTGCCAGGGAGAAGGTGCTGGAGGGGGGAACCTGCACACTGCCACTGCTGTCCACTGCCACTGCCATCCTCTGAGCATGGGACAGGGGACTGCTATCCTCTTAGCAACAGGCACAGCTCACTGCTAGAGCAGGGCCGGAGCAGCCTTGGGGCTCCTCCTGCACCTGGATCAACCCGGAATGGTAGTGGGAGTCATGGAAGCGGGGAGTGTCCAAACCACTGCATCCCCTCTGGATCTGCCCCTGTCTCTGATTTAACCTGGGCATTGTGGCTCAAGCACTTTCTGCTGCAGTGCTGTGGGCTAGTATATGTATTTATTTAAGGGTGAGATTACCCTGAAACAGGGTGATAGTCCACCCTGTTCCTTGGTTCCTCTCCCAAGGAGTGGGGGAGCCGGTTCATGGGAAGCGCAGTGACTGGGACATGAGGCGCAGCTGTGCCTCTTCACACGTCAGGTGAAAGAAATGGCAGATGAGGGTTCGGGGTCTACAAAAGAGGGGACACTGAGGGCAGCAGATTGCCCCTGGGGGCACACAAAGAGATGCGAGAGAGCGTGGCCAGCATGATCAGAGATGGATCTGAATTGAGAGCTAACGCTGCGGAGTCTAACTCACCAGGTGAAGAAAACTGCAGAGAGAGATCGGTGAGAGAAAGGATGCTAAAACCATGAGCACTTACCTGGTTGTTCCAGGAGAGGAGGCAGGGAGCCAAGAAGTACATCACCTGCCTTCTGGTGGTTGATGGCAACCCCCTTGTGGATCCAAATGAGATGTAGTGCTGCGTGCAAGCTTTCTATGAAGAGCTCTTCACCCTGGATCTGACCAACGCCAAAGCCTGTCAGACCCTGTGGGAGGTACTCCTGCAGATCAGCACAGACAAATGGGACCAGCTGGAGGCTCCTCTGACCCTGGCCAAGTTTTCGGCTGCCTTCCGCCTGATGGCTGGAAACAAGGCACCAGACATCAATGGGCTGACCACAGAGTTCTACTGGGCCTTCAGGGACATCCTTGGCCTGGACTTCACTGCAGTCTGGGCCAAATCCAAGGGAAGTGGGAAGGTCCTGTAACACCAGGGGGCCATGCTAACCCTCCTGCAAAAGAAGGCAGATCCCCACAACCTGAGGAACTGGTGCTTTGTGTCCCTCCTCTTCATGGACTACAAGGTAGTAGCTGAGGCCATCTCACTGCTCCTGCAGTCCATGCTAACAGACATGATCTATCCTAACCAGATGTACACGGTGCCTGGATGTTCCATTTTCAACAACCTGTACCTGGTCCAGGACCTCCTAGAGATAGCACGCTAGGAGGACCTGTCTTTCGCCCTCCTATCCATGGACCAGGAGAAGGCATTTGATAGAGTGGATCACGGATACCTCAGAGGCACACTGCAGGCGTTTGGCTTTGGGCCCCACTTCAATGTGGGCTCCCCAGGTGCTATATGCTTCTGCAGAGTGTTTGGTCAAGCTCAACTGGACCCTGATGGAGCCCATCCCATCCAGAAGAGTGGTGCTTCAAGGCTGCCCACTGTTGGCCAGCTGTACGCCTTGGCCCTGGAACACTTCCTCATCCTCCTGCAAAGGCGTGTGGCAGGGTTGATGCTCCAGGAGTTGGCACTGCAGCTGGTCCTGTCAGTGTATGCTGATGACATACTCCTAATGGTCCAGGGTTCAGGTGACCTGGTGCAGGTGGATGCCTGCCAGGTATTGAACTCAGAAGCAACCTCTGCCTGGGTCAACTGGGTCAATAGCTTTGGCCTGGCAGTGGGTGACAGCGGGCAGGTGGGCTCACTCCTACCTACGCTTCACAGGATCTGCTGGAGCGTGGCCTCACTCTTCTACTTGGGGGTCTACCTGTCCCCCACAGACCCTTTCCTACCAGAGAACTGGCACCAACTGGAGGAAAAGGTGGTGGAGTGGCTCCGGGCATGGGCAGGGCTCCTGAGGGGTCTCTCCCTGCATGGGAGAGTGCTGGTGCTGAACCAGTGTTCCTGTCCATGCTCTGGCACCACTTACACACCCTACCTGTGCCCCGTGAGATCTCGGCAGGGCTCCAGATATGGGCACTGTATTTTTTTCTGGCCAGGACAGCACTGGTTTGCTGCAGAGGTCCTGAGCCTCCCCTTGCTGGATGGTGGCCAGAGCCTAGTTTGCCTGCACAGCCAGGTCCTGATGTTCCGCCTTCAGACCCTGCAGCAACTGCTATACATTGTCGGTAGACAGGCGGCATGGGGCCACCTGTGCTGCACCTGCCTCTGACACTTCTGGGGGCTCCAATATGAGTGACAGCTCCTGGGCCTGTGGGCCTTTTCCTGAAGGACCTGCAGGGTTGCCAGAGTTCCACCAAAACCTCCATCGAGCCAGGTGCCATTCTACTCATCAAGCCCCTCCTCTGGAAGCCCCATCTGGAGGTACCGACAGAAGAGGCACCCCGGTTATGACAGAGGTTCATCCTGGTTGGTGTTTCCTGTATCAAAGACCTCCTGGACTATGATAGGCAGGAGTGGGTGGACCCCACTTCACTGGCCTGGCACATGGGTATACCCACAACATGTGCGACCTGCCACCTGGTTCAGGAGGTGACATCTGCCCTACCTCCTGATGCCCTTGCCCTTGTTCACCAGGTCCTGCATGGTGGCAGTCCCCACTCTCCCACCCCACCGTGTTCTCCAGCCCACCACAGTTTGTCATGGGGCTGGTGCCTCACCCAACCTTGTGGCACTCCCCACTCCACCACCTAAGCTGGGTGGAGGACACCAGACTGGTCCACTTTTCCACCATCCATCGCCACCACTTCTACACTCTCATGCACCACATGATCCACTATGCCACCCTCGTGTCCTGCCCAGACACCAAGTGTTGAGACCTGCTCAGCAAGGGAGTGGCTTGGGCACCCCAATGGCTGAGCCTGGACTACACCTTCATCCCACAAACCAGCTGGTGGCTCCTCCATTGAGCCACAGCCACAGGCATGTATGTGATGAGCTTCACAGACACCCTGGTCTCCTGCCCCTTCTGTGGGCAGAGGGAGACACTGGCACACATGACACTTGAGTGTGCCAGGCTGCAGCCCTCCCCCTCCCGCTCTAGAACCTCTTCCTGAGGTTCTGGATGCATTTCAACCACACCTTTTTATTTTTGGTCAGCCCATCTGTGGCCCCACCAAGTCCCGGGACCTCCTAGTCAACCTTCTCCTGGCCCTGGCCAAGTGGGCCCTCTACTTGACCAAGAAGGAGGCTCCAGCAAGGAAGGTGTGAAAGGACTGCAGGACCGCATTCCTTTCTCTCCTCTGTGCATGCTTCTGGGCAGAGCACCAGTCAGCTTCTTAGATGCCTTGGAGGATGAGTGGGAGCAGCCCAGGGGGCTCTACTCAGTTTCCCCCCCTTGAGCCCTTATTTTCACATTTTGACCCCCAAGTCACTCCAAACTTTTTCCTTTAGTTCCCCTCCCCGTCTCCACCACCAACAACAAAAAAATATTAGCTGCATCTTTCAACATTTGGATCCACATCGTGGGGACTATTAGTTAACTGGATGGGCCTTAAGGCCCATGTCCAATGGAAGATACAAATAAACAGTAGCTTCTTCTGAGAAAATGGCCACGCCCCTTCCTGCATCTGTCTACTGCTGCTGCTGTTGTTCGTTCTCAGGAGCTTTTGGGGGGAAGTTAGCTGTGCCCCTTCCAGGCTTGGGCTGCTTCTGCTGCTGTTACCATCCTCCTGTGCTGCCCATGGGCTCCTCCACCACCATCACTGCCAGCAGCTAAGGGTGCCTTAGCTGCCTCAGCTGCCTCTGCAGGCCACCCCCTGCCTTTACCTTCACTTTCACCTTTACCTGAACCATGCCTTGAGTAGCTGACCTTGCCCGGGACGGTTGCTCCCACTGCTGCTGCTGGTGACCGCCTGTACTGTTGCTGCCCCCTCTCAGGAGAGGGGTGGATTTCCTGCTGCACCATATTGCACCTCCCAACACTGCACCTGCACTGGTTTACATCCTTAATTGACTGCTCCTGCACTCCCTCATACCTGTGTCACCACATCTGAACCTGAGCTTTGTTTCCCTGCTGCTCCCCTGCTGCTAAATGCCTGGCTGGAGGCCTGAGGGGCTCCTGGACTGAGCTTCCACACACAACACCCCTGCAACACTCCAGTCATTTATTCACACCTGCCTCAGCAAACTGCACTGGGTATTTTGCCCTTGTGGGATAAGTCCTGTGGTCCACTCCCCCTGCCCTGGCGTTATGTGGCTGAGTAACCCAGCTCAAATCTACCCAGCCCTTCTGGGTGTCCCACGCCCCACCTTCCCCAGGCATAGCTTGCCTGGTTTCCCATGGGGCTGTAGACCAGTGAGATTCAGCCCCTTTCCCCTGCCCTCCACTTCCCCACACCCCAACCTGCCCCTATTGGATTCACTAGCCCCAATGTCTTTTTTGGATTTTTTTTCTTTATTGGTTTCTCTCTCCCTTTTGTGGGGCAATGGTGGGGCAGGAGCCCTCTGGGTGGGCACAGATGCCCCCACAGCATTTCCTGCTGTGCCCACTATGGGTCAGATTCCAACCAGGCTCCCAAGGGGCTGCATGTCCCTACAATGCTGAGCCTGGAGGCAGAGTTTAACTGACCCCCCCTGGATGTAGACAAGCCTCTTTATTGTTATCTTATATTGTGATGCATTTTCATTCTCACTCCATTATCATCCCCTGGAACTGACCCAATACATCAGGTTGAGAGAAATATCATTTCTGGAACAAGCTTTCAAAAAGGGTTTAATAAGAAAATGCATTAATTTTAGGATGCGGAATGTTTTAGGAATACAAAAGCAGGAGCTATTCAGACATCCTGATCAATGGCAACTTAAAAAAATTATCACTAAAACTAATACACTTGCAACTACATCAGCCTCTAGAAGAAGCTGATCAGGCTACCGGCTATGCAGGGACAGTTTCTAGTAACTCTTTGGCCCAGTCAGCATTTCTGAGAGGAATCTCCTAATCATATAGCATGTGTGTCCTCACAGGGCATTTGTGCTAAACACAGACATTCTTACATCAATGTCCCAGCAAAACCATCTTCAGCATCATCATATTCTATGTCCCCAGGAGGCAGGGATGGGTCTTTTCTGTTAGCTCCACTTCTTTGGGAGTGCAGACTCCAACCTGAAAATATCAAGGGAAGCACATGATACCGAACTGAACCCTGCCTTGCCATTAAGGTGAGCCACCACAATTATCTACTCCTTAGTGAACAAGGTCACCATGAAATACAGGTATATCCATTACTTCCGAGCATATAACTTCAGGAATCTTGAGGGAGGCCTCCAACTACTGTGGGAGTGACTTATATTTTTGAACTTTATAATTAATAAAATATTTTGAACTCTCATATTTCTGAACCTTTAGATTAAGCATGCTTCATTTTTTGAGCCTTTTAATTTTATAACTGGAAAACTTGCTACACATCAGTAAGACCAGAGATTGAACAGCAAGATATGGCAACTTCACTCACATGTCTGTGAATCCCTTGTCGCATCACTTTCCTCTGGGGCTTCAGTGACTTCCTCATCATTCTGGTGAAAGGCAGAACTGTGTTCTGGATCAGAAATTTCTCCAGCATTATCATAACCATCGCTGGTGGCATCTCTGGGCAGTACAGATGCTTCTGAAATACAGATGAGAATTAATAGTGATGAGGACAGACCTGACACTGAATAGAGAAATTAAGTAAAGGTCAGGGACAAAAGGCTGATATGCCCAGAAAGAGCCCTGATATGCTCTCTCCATCAATTGCATTAATTCAGACTGGGAAGCCTGTTAGACTATTCTCTGCTTAGACCTAGATTCTCTATTTTTTAAATCAGGAAAAGTACTTGTTTTTCATTCAGTACTAATCAGAGTAGCAGCTTTATGTAACAACCTCTTTGAAACCTTGACTAAGAAAATAGATGTTACATTTTAACTAATTCATAGTTAGCAGCTGCAGTAATACTGCTCCTAACATGAAGTTGACATCCCAGGACAAATAAGTGTAAAATTCTGTTTTCTTTTCAATAGTAGCTTTAATTACAATAGCAAACTTACTTACTACTTGAACAACATGCCTGTCTTCTGACATAGAGCACAACATGAGTTTTCTGTTTCTTAGGGTAGAAAATTCTGATCGAGGCACAAAAGCCAGGCAAACAGGAATTCATACTCCTTGTCGCACCACAAATGCCCTAACTTTGTGGCTGCAATGAAGATGATAAGAGTTTCTGCCATCCTATTGCAGCAGACGTCTGATTGTTTTATGCACAGGAGCACAGACAACCCAGAACTACCCATGCTCTTCAGCTGCCCCAGGCTAGCACTCATGGAACTTGAGAGGACTGATCCTGCAAGGCCTGGGAATTACTTTGCAGATTCAGGTCCCTCAAGCCCCCAGGAATATATGCCCAGCTTTACCATCTTACAGGAACTCATGCTGGGCAATCTCTGATGCACTTCTTTGTAAGGGGGGAACCTCAGCTTCCCCCTTTACATGGATGTGCCATGGGGAACCTCTAGGACACATCTTTGTAAGCGGGGAACACATCACCTGTTGTCCCAGAAGATCAGGCCCTGATCAGTTCATGACAACGGGCAACATGTGTTTTACCCATTGCAGCAGATCAGGTGTAGTGAGACATACTGCCACTACTGGTCCACTTCACTTGGTGATGTCTGTTTAAACCCTTTTGTCACTGCCCTCTGCCATACAACTAAATCAGTGCCACACTCTGTGGGAGAAAGGAGGAGGATGGAAAAAACAACAAAGGAAAGTGAACCCACACAGCAGATCACTGACCACCGCAGCAAAGGGAAGGAGCTGGAGAATAGTTCTTATGCAAATATTCCAACGCCATTTTCAAATTATTTGACCCTAAAAATAGATGCTTTCCTGGGCCATATTTAGTTATACTCCAAAAGTGCAATATGGGCAATGTTGCAGAAAGTGTCCCTGCAGGTCGGACTAGCAAAGTCTGATTTGTAAGCAGGGTGGGGCGCTCATTGACAGAAGTCCAGTTACTGGCTGGTCTCATCACAGAGCTAGTGTTTGCAGCATTTCATCCCTCTGGGGGTTGAAAACTACAGGAAATTAGGACTAGTTCATGATCTCAGGATGACAAGTGAATTAGACAGTGGCTCTGTGTTAGGAATGCAATGCACAGACCTGAATGAGCAAACGATTGCCCCTTCTCCTTCATTGAGCTGTAGTCAATCTCTTCATACACAGCCTCAGAGAAGGGCTGCATGAATTTTCTGGATGCTGAAAGCAAGAGTATGTGGTTAGTAGAACACAAGGTGGGAAATAGTATTAAACCCTTCTGCCACAGGTCAGTGAGGGACTGTCAGCAGTTCTTCTTTTTTAGCCCAGAAAATATCCCAGTCCAGACAATAAATGTGTTCCCTTTCAAAATTTCTTTGGAGATGCTTCCTTTATCTTTTGCACCAGCACAAAATCTCTCGTCTTAAAATGTCTGTTTTCTTTTCATTTCATTACTGCACATTATTGCCCATACAGCAGCTTCAATAATTCCTCTCCCAACATGAAGTTTATATTCCAGGAGTAACAACACTTATTTCTCTGCTTAAATGTGTTCCCTTTCAAAATTTCTTTGGAGATGCTTCCTTTATCTTTTGCACCAGCACAAAATCTCTCGTCTTAAAATGTCTGTTTTCTTTTCATTTCATTACTGCACATTATTGCCCATACAGCAGCTTCAATAATTCCTCTCCCAACATGAAGTTTATATTCCAGGAGTAACAACACTTATTTCTCTGCTTTCCAAATTTCTTGTACCTACAGATGTATTTGTCTGTAGGACTGAATCCTACAGGTGCAACTAGTGAGGATAATGCACTATCCAATATTGCTCAGAGCTGTAGTTCACTCACCTAAATTCTCACATATTTCCACAGTATTTCCAATTGTTCTAGGTCATTGGTGCTCAAATTTTTTTGCCCCATTGGCCAGAGGAATGGTGCGAGACCAGTTTGCAGGCCGAATCAAGCCCTGTGCCAGCCCTGTATACCAATTTCTGGCCCTGGCCTCCGTGCTTTCTCCACCCATCAAAACCCTCATCCTAGCCAGGCAGGGGCAGTGGGAGAAGCACTGGAGCTCAAACCTGAGAGGATGGAGATGGTGCAGAGCTCTGTGCCATGCTGTCCATCTGAAATCAGGATGCGGAGCTCCCTGCTCACCGCGCCTAGGCCCCACAAACTGGAATCGGACCCCGTGCTGCTCTGCATGTTCAATCTAGCACTTGGGGCCACATTCGGCAAGTCTTCCCACAGGATCCATTGGGATACCATGGGTTTGAATTGCATGGCGCTGAGGGAAGGATCTGGCCCACAGGCTAGGGGTTGAGCACCCCAGTCTAGGTTCTTTTCCACTATCTCCCTCTTCCTTCTGATACCCTAAAACTCTCCCTGCAACTTCAAAGAGGTATTTCTATATCATTTAAACCCACTGCGACTCACCTTTCTGCTGTGCTCTGCCTTTTTGCACCAGCCCAGCCAGAATGATTAGGACCAAGCAGAGAAGGACCCCCAGAATAATGCAGATGACAATGGGTACCATGTCTCCCCTGCTGTCTGTGGCAGGTGGCTCTGAAAGGAAACAAACATAGGAGCAGTAGAGACTATTCTTTGAAAGACAAATGAATCTCAAGGGAATATCCCCAGTTACTAATTGGACCATAAATAGTCAAAGGTCAAATACTGAGAGACAGGAGAGTAACCCACATGCTAAAGCGAGAGTCAGGAGCCCAGGCACATCAGTGGAAACCCACTGAGCAGCAATGTCTATCAGTCAGCATGCCCTGCAGGACACAGCCCAGGGGCCATTGCCTCATAGGTATCAGACTTTCGGTCAAGAAACTTCATCTCTGAGAGCAGATTTACAACTCATTTCTCAGGAAAATGCAGCACTTATTGGAAGGGGATTCTTTACCTGTTCCCATTGGGGAAGTTGTCATTCCTGTTGCATCTGCAAAGGGAAATAGAAGAAGGGTTGGACTCTGAAAGAATGGAGAGGTAAAGCATTATCTACCAAAGGGATCGTCCCCCTGTGTGGCTGCAGGTGGAACTGGCACATCACATATATGTTCTCCTTTCAAGCGGGGGACGGACAGTTGTGGGCTAACTGAGAAAGAAGTCTCCCTGTGCTTTAGGAGCAGTGGGGACAATACTAATAAACTGGAACACCGGAGCCTCAGATAAGAGCAGGGGCTCCATGGGCTGACACACGAGCCCTCCTGGGCCCTCCAAGGTTACACCCCTCACCATCCAGTCCTATGGCCAAGGAACAGGGGGCTGATACATAGCTGGGCAGGGGGATCCAGCACCACGCATCAGAAAGTTGCATACTTTATCAAAAACCTGTCAGTCACTGTTACTGCTACCAAGGGGCTGCCAGCTCTTACTGCATAATGGTTTGAACACAGATCCACAGTGCAAATAACTAGATTAGCTTTATTCATTATGCCCAGGTGATAAGGCTGCCTGGCAGAGGGATGGGTGGAAGGACAAGAGATTCAAAGTTTTCCACCATTCTGCATCTTATATGCAAATACATATACACTATTCGGACAATAATTAGCTAACACAGTTAGGAAAGCTGGTTTTCCCTCACTCAGACACACTCCAAGTTAGGGCTCAGCAACCAGGTGTATCTGTAGATGCCCATAGTGCACAATAAGTTGTGCCACAACCAATCACAGCACAGCCACTCATGCTCCACTGACATCGTCTCTTTCTAGCCTCACATACCATCTCTGCAGGAAGTTTTCCTTATTGAATCCTGCCAAGCCTGTCCAAGGAGGCTTGTACTCACCAGACACATTACAAGCAGCATCGTCTTTATGGTGGGAGCAGTTAGCGTCCTCCCAGTGCTTCGCAGGACAGTGCCACAGAGATGACTCTGTCCCTCGACAGTCCAACTTCTCCAACCAGATGGGGCCATCCCCTTCCCCGAATGCTGCTCCACTCAGGGCAGACACAGCAGGTCCACAGCCCAGCTGTTTACACACAACGTCCGCATCCGCCATGTCCCAGGAGTCATCACACACCGTTCCCCAGGAGCCACGGTGCCAAACTTCCACTCTCCCTGAACAGCTGTCCTCTCCTCCCACAACACGGATCTTTTCTGTGTCTGGGAAAGGCAGAAACTTTACACGTTACTGGAGAGCTGGTAATGTCCTTAGGGATTGAGAAGATATAAAGAGAAGCATTCATACCTGTGCAGTTTGTAGAGCTTGGGCATGCAGCAAATGGGTTTTGTGTTCTGTTTTCTTTTCCTCCTACAGAAACAAATACTACCATGCATGAGTTACTTAAAGTTAATTACTGTGTTTCATGCAAAATAAAGTAGAATTTATACATGAAAAATTAAGTAGAACCAATAACCTCTCCACTGCTACACTGTGGGCATGGTTACATGTGATGCTACGTCACTGTAGCGATGCACTCAGCTGACATGGAAACCATGTGCATCTATACATGACCAGCAGCTACTTCACTGCAGCACTGCACTCCTTCACTATAGTGTGCCGCAATGGCCATGTAGCAGCTAAAAATAACCAGGCGCCCAACGTACAACACAGTACAGGCTGCTATTGCGCTGTGCTTTAGTACTTCCAAAAGGGAGTACTACAGCATGGTGCAGTAGCTACATCACCATATGGGTATGTGTAGACACACCATGTATAAATAAGATGTAAGTTCTAGTTTATGTAATACCCGAAGGGTTTGTACTACAGTGATAATCATGATTTCTCAAATGTTTTGCAGCTCTCTGACAGCATATGTGTGCTTGTGATTTCTCACTCCATGCTTTCTCTCTATGAGTCTCTTCCCTATCCTTTTATAAAGAACCTGATAGTGAACAGTTTTATTATCTGAAAAACACCTGGAGTAGTAGGGAATTCCAGTGAAGAGAAACAACTGTACTGCACCTGGAACTGAAATGAACCTACAGCTCAGATCCAGCATCTTCACACGCATTTCCAAGCCACTTGCAGAAATAGACACAAATGAATTTTTGGAAAATTCTCACCCTGAGTCAAATTTCACAGCCTAGATCCACCACTGATTTTCATCCCCAAAATAGAAACAACAAAGCTGCACATATAATGTTCAAAAATGAATGCCTACTATGTAATACACACTTTATTTATAATGAATAATGTTCCTTTGTTTACCACAGGCTGTCTTCTCATTTTAATCGATAATTAAAATAAGTTTGTTATAATCTTAAGAATGAAAAACGGTCTAATCAATTAAAAATGTCCAATGCTCTACTGTGACTACTTCTCTCCCAAAAACTGGAGGAAGGAGACTTTGGTACCTGCTATCTTATCTACGTCCTTCCCAAATAAACATTTGATCCAGTAAAAGATATCACCCACAAAAATGGGTGCCTAATAAATATGCACCTCAAAAGCACCTTGCCTAAAAATGCAAAATTTTTCTTTGTCAATGCCTCAGTGACTGTGGGCACACATGCAGGTGCAGGTTTACATCAGAGGCTGGTGGTGTATCCTCTGGGTGTGTATGTGTATGTGTGTTTAAAGATGGTTTTAAAATTACCACTGCAAGAAATGTGCATCTCTTCTATCCGGGTATCACATGACTGAAGAGCCCACGGCTCTGATGGGCACTGCCAAAGGGAACAGTGATGCTCATGATGACACTCAATGTGGTCCAGCCATGTGGGACCAGAACCTTCTCCATATGCAAACTCTCTTGCAAATGCCCCTCCAGCTCCACAGCTCAGCTGTTTGCATATAATTTCAACAGTGGCTTGAGTCATTCGATTGGAGCAAACACTCCCCCAGGTCCCATTGTAGAAAACCTCCAGCCGTCCAGCACAGTCACCGCCATTCACCAGCCTCAGATCCATGAACTCTAGAGGGAAATGCAAAAAATCAAATTGTACTGACCTGATTCTGGTATAACCTGAAGTATGCAGATTGAAATCCCGGAGATCACTGACAACTCTATGCAGGAGCAAATGTAGCAACAATTTCCATCAAGAATCACTGAAAAAGTCAAAAAGTTTTCCAAAGATCCTAAGGTTATAAGCAGGGATCCGGGTTTTCCATTTCCCACAGAAAAATGGAGTAAACCGTGGATTTTGCCTTTTACCTGAGGCAAACACAGATTTCTCATTTTACCAGAGAAACCTGTGGATTTTGCCATTTTGCAATGAGCTCCCTGCAGGCTGGCAGATTTCTGGCCTGCAGGGACCTGGGAGGAAGGCGGAGAGACAGGGGGTGCCACGTGCACGGACATGCACATGGCCCCAGGCAGCCCGCCGCGCAACGTGGAAGAGTAGATTCAGCAGGTACATGTAGGGGAAAAGGGGGATTGAGGCCCCTAGAGGGAGGGAGGGAGGGAGCTGGGCAGGGCTGGGGCTGCTGCCCAAGCGGGTGGCACTTGGGGCTTGGGACCCGGGGTCGCAATTCTCAGCTGATGGGCCCAAGCTGGGAGCAGGATGGGGCTGCGGGTGGCTTGTCCGCGGGAGGGAGAGGCAGAGGGCCAGGTCCCCACTGCCGTGTGCGCTCCCGGGAGGCAGAGGGTTCCCACACCCCCAGACATGTACCCTGGGAAGGCACAGGCTGAAAACTTAAGCTCCCACCCTGCTTCCCTCCCCTGGGGCCTCTGGAGCCTCCAGAGCTAGATGGGGAGAGTGGGGCAATGCAGGGATTTCTTGCTGCTGCAAGTTGCCCCCCACACCTACCCCCTGCTGCCCTGGTGACGTGCCTCCAGCACCCGCCACTGCTTTGAGGGATGCAGCTCCATGCTGCTACCCTCGCTGCAGCCCCGTGCACAGGAGGCGAATCATCAGACCAGCACAGGGTGGGGGAAAGAAGCAGCAAAGAGTTTTTCTGCGTACTTCCTCCTCTCCCTGCCACACTGGGTCCCTCAAAGCAGTGGCAGGCGCTAGAGGTGCACTGCCAAGGCAGCAGAGTAACAGCCCACAGCAGCAAGGAATCCCCTCCCAGCCCCACTGTCCCTAGCCATGCCAAGTTGCACCTGCTGCCTCTGGAGACTCCGGAGGCCCCTGTGGAGGGAAGAATTGTGGAAGCTAGAGCCGGCAACCTGCGCCTGCCCTGGGTACAGATCTGGAGGTGCAAGTCTTCCCTGTCCCCTGGAACGTGTGAGGCAGTAGGAAACGTGCCTTCCCCAGATGAGCCACCCACGGCCCCATGCTGCTCCCAGCTGGGACCCTGCAGCGGTGCAAGGCAGTCCCAGGACCCAACCCCCCCCCAGCTGGGCAGCAGCCTCAGCCTGCACCTGCCCTGGGTACACATATGGGGGCACGGGTCCCCCCTGTCCCCTGGGAGTGCATGTAGTGGCAGGGAGCGGCCCCGTCCAAGCCCACAACAGGGAGGCAGCAGGGGCAAGGGGCTACGGACCTGGGTCCATACCCCTGGCAGCTGGGGGCCCCTTCCAGCAGGGCTGGGGGAGCCGCAAGCCTGTGGGGGCTGTGGCTGGGGAGTGAGTGCCATCAGCAGGACTGGGGATAGGGGCGGGGAGGGTGTTGTGGGGTGGCCTTTAATTTTAATCATGGATTTTAGGTTTTTTAGCAGAGAAGTTGTGATTTTGTATGACGGAAAATTGGGATCCCTGGTCATTAGGCATAAAATGGAAACCTGTGCAAAGTCATCGGTTACCAAGAGTTACAAAATACCTAAGATACTGCAGTGTCTGTCCCAGTCCATATTGTGTAATAGGTTTGGTTTCTTTCATAACCCAGGTGGACAGTTATGGAAAACTGCAGCATTTTAATAATGACTGTCATAAATGGGAAGGCAAGAAAGAGAAATAAACAGCCAGGGAGGATCTCTATCATTCTTATCTCTCCCCTCAAAGATTTTCCCCCTCTACTATATCACTGCTTACCAGGTTCATGAGAGCAGCTATACAACAGACCTGAACAGAGCACTCCTGCATCCTCTTTGTGTCGGCAGTTGTGCTGGCCCCAGCCCCTGGAAGGACATGCCCAGAGCTCGGACTCATCCCCGGAGCATATCACATCGTCCAGCCAGATCTGCCCTGAGCCTTGCCCGTATTGAGCAGAAGGAGATGCCTCAATGGCGTATCCACATCTCAGCTGTCTGCAAACCACATTAGCATCAGACAAGTCCCAGGAATCATCACAGATGGTCCCCCAGGTGCCCTGGTAATACACCTCCACTCTCCCAGCACAGCGACCCGCCCCATTCACCAGTCTGATCCTCCTGCTTCCTGTAAAAAGAAATCCCAGCAATTAATGCGCAGATTAATGATAACTAAATAGTTGCCATGGAAATCATTCTGATATTTAAGGGAAGCGGGGGGAACAGAACAGGACCTGGCCAGGCCCAGCTGCATGTGCAGGTGGAAGCACACCATGGGCTGCTCTGACACAAGTGAGCTTGGCTTAGCCCCATGTGGGGTGCACCACCCAGGTGAGCTCTCCTCCACATGCCCCCCACTCCCCAACCCCTCACCCCTGGCAGGCTCCCAGGACCTAGCACCCAGGCAGCCACCCCCACCCCCAACACACACACACATGAATACCCTGCCCCGACACACCACTCCCCACCCCAGAGGCGCTCTCCTGAAATAGCCAGTAACAGCTCATCAAAACTCCATGTTTGCTGCAGACCTAAATAATTGCCCACTCCTAGCTTACATCCTGGCTGTACCCCTGACAGAAGAGGGTGTTTGTAGGATTTTCGGGGGAAGTCACCTGAGCAAACAACACTGACGTCTTCTGCTATACCAGCCTGCATTGTCTCAGACAGGGAGGTGTTACACAGGGTCAGATTAGACTCGTGTCCTGCACACTGAACACTTCTAAACCCCACAGGACCTGTCCCGCGCTCAGACTTTGCAGGGTGATAGGCTTTCTCAGCAGCTCCACACTGGAGCTGCCTGCACACCACGCTGGCATCATTCATGTCCCACTGATCATCCAGGACTCTGCTCCATGTGCCACCAAAGGAAACCTCAACTCGCCCATCGCACCGGCTCTCTCCATTCAACAGTTTGAGTGATTCAGAGTGACCTGCCCTCAGGGAAGACGGAAAATGCATTGAACACCACTCTTTGTTTTCCAATACATAAAATGAAGAATGCACGCATGAAATTACCAAAAGTTATCAAACATTCAGAGAACTACAGTGATAAGACGAACAACTGCTGTTACAAGGATTTTAGGAAAATCCTTCATTAGAGTTTTAATACTCAAGGCTAAAGCCCTGGCAGAGAGAGTTGCTGGCTAGGACCTCTGATTAAGTGTATTCCTTGAAGCCAAGGAACAACACTGACCTTTTGTTCATGTCAGCCAGCAGAGCTCTCTTGGCAAAGGGTATGGAAAACTAAGACCCTATAGTTAATGTAGCTCTGCTGCAAAACACCTGGTATGGATGCAGCTTCTGCTTTCTCCTTGCAGAGCTTCTGTTGTCAGGGATGAGGGTGTAGCTCCAGCAAAAGGAGAACCCCTGCCATCAGATGGCCCAGGCAGGTTTGTAATGATGCCAGAATTAAAATATTAGCTGCCTCCTCTCCCCCCACCACTGTAGCAATATAGCTTGAGGAAGGCAGACAGAAGAGCCTACAGCTTTGCCTCCTGCTGTGAGGCATTCAGATAGCACTAAGCTGGTTGAAGGTGTCTCGGTATCTAAAAACACGATTCACACAGCTGCATCTACTGCCAGAAATTCTAGAAGCAAACAGTAGACATGACCACCGAGATGCTAGAGGGCATGTTCACCTCCATTCAGCTACTATGGCCAAGAATAGAGACGTATGGCATAAATCTAGTAATCATCAGATTCAGTACACATGGGCAAGTGTAAATGAGAATTACACAACAAGTTTTATTCTTCAACAATAAGCAGTCCCTATAGACTCTATATCGATCTCTGACTGACTGACTAGCTATTTAACTGAGCAACCATCTCCCAGTTACCAAATCAACTAAATTAGGGAGCATCTCCAAATAATAACTATTACTTTAATAGGTTTTTGCTGCATTGCACTAAGAAAGCATACCAGAAATGGCAACATATGAAAGCCATGTCCTCTGAAATAGGTCTCCACCAAGAAGCGGGGGAGGAAAGTGAAAAGGGTTGAGTTGAAAATGTCTGTACCAGTGGCATTTGCAGCCTGAATCATAGTTTCTAATGGGCAAGGAAAAGAAAGGAAATGCAAGGAGAAGAACTCAGAATACGCACATTTATATGATAAAGTATTCTGGGCACCGGCACAAAGCTACCAAACACATCCCTTGCTGGTCTTGTGGGTCAACATCCTTAATGCTATGTCACTAGCAGGAAGTACATCTAGAGAACTGACTCTTAATGCATAGGCCTCTACAGCTGAGCTAAAAAACCCACTGCTTGAGCCAAAGCTGTAGGAGTCTCACGCTTTCTGTAGGTGTGTCTACATGTGTGCTTTACTGTGCATTGGATTAATATAACGCTCAGTAAAGCATCACCATCTACACATGCATGGCAATTACTATGCAGTAGGTTAATGTAAAGCACCATTTGCTAGTACTGACAAATACAGGTATCAGCCAACAGTTCTTTACATTAACATGTCTGAATGCATGTATAGATACTGACCCAGGAGCATATTGCTCCTGGTGAGCTCAGGCAGCAGGGGGCCACAACTGCTGCTCATCTCTGGGGGCACTTCCAAGTGGCACAGAGATGCCCCTGGAGCCAGGTAAAGCTCCTGCCCTGCCCTCTAGATCTAGAGGCTAGCCCTGAGCTCCATGCTGCTCAGAGCTGCCACCGGAGCTGGGGCCAGCTCACCCCACAACCCCCTGGAGCCAAGGTCTGAACCCCCATTGCCCCTGCCAACCCAAGGCTGCCCCTGAAGTCCCCTCCCAGCTTACAGTTGACTCCCTGTACCTCCTGCCAGCCCACAGCTGATCCCCAGTACACTCTACCAGGCCAGGGCTACCCTGATTCCTCCTGCCAGCCTGGCACATGGAGCTCCCCCTGGCTGCAGGAGTGGTGCAGAGCAGGGGTGGACCAGTCCTGGACTAAGCTGCTCCTCTCAGGCTCAGTCTGCTCCCAACTCAGGCGCATGAGAGGACGTGAGCCTGGTCACAGTTTGATGCACCTGAATTTTCTGTGTAGAAAATTCAGGCATGTCCTGTATTGCCTATCTACTAATCCTGTGTTGTTTCTGCACTCACCTGAGCAAATCACACTAACATCATGGTCATGTGAGCATTGAGAGGCCCCCAAGGCAATTACTGGGCAGTGCCACAAATGGAGTTCACTCCCATTACAATAGAATGCGTCTTTCCAGACAGGCCCGGTTCCTTTCCCAAAATGCCCTCCTCCTGGAGTGGACACAGCAAATCCACAATCAAGCTGACGACAGAGAACGTGGGCATCAGATAAATCCCAGTGTGAGTCACACACGGTGCCCCACGCACTGAGCACTTGGACCTCCACTCTCCCCGAGCACCGTGTGCTGCCGTTCACCAGCCTGAACCCTGTGAACCCTGGGGGGAAGAAAAGGGAGAAACTGATTAGATAGAAACACACCAGCCCATGTCCCATTTTATACCAAATAGTCAAAAAATAGGGAAGTTTGAAAGAGGCAATCCCTTTCTGACTATCTTGACTTTGAAGGATTTTGCCAGATATGGATTCTAGTTTTACTGTCACTGCTTCCAGTGAAGTGATATCACTTTGTTACGAAACCCAAGCTCTGGTCTTTTACGTGACGGTTTGAAGGGCTGATATGAGGAATTCCTAAGCCTTTGTTGGAAAGGGCAGGATATATATATAACTACATAAATACATGCATACATACATAAATGGCTTCCTGCTAATCTAGGGGATTGGATTCAGTGTCTCAGATGGCCCCTGTTGGTCCTATATTCCTATTTTTAACATATCACTCTGAATACTTACGTGAACATATAAGGCCAATATCATTTGCATGTGAGCCTGTCCGATTCATGGGTGGTGCTCGGGGGCAGTATGCGAGATAAGACTCATTTCCCACACACTGAAACTCTTCAGTCCAGATTGGCCCTTGTCCTTCTCCAAAGTGAGCTCCTTCTGTGATGGATACAACTGCTCCACACTGTAGCTCATTACAAATCACACTGGCAGCTTTAAGATCAAGGTGGGAATCACTGACAGTAGCCCAAGTGTGTCCATGGCTTATCTCCAGACGTCCTGAGCAGGCATTGTCACCTTCAATCAGCCGGGGCTGTGTCTCACCTAGAGTCAATCAGTCCATCAATGAATGTAACATTGAAACTCCTTGCCCTCCATTACAGCTTTTAGTAGACACAGATGGGTTTTTTAAACATTTTGGATACAAAAATAGTTTTTAAAATAGGGAATTAACTCTCCATACAAGCATTAATTAGCTACCTACCGAATTATTGAATTTTTAACTAATCATAAAGGATAAGGCATATGCATATTTTATGCCATGCCCCTCTATTTTCTGACTTGTTTCTGATATTCTGTTCTACATTGTTACTAAATATTAACACAAATCTGTGGTTTCAATTTCTAGAACAACAGGCAACAGCTTTAGATAATCCTACCACTTACACTCAAGAGAAAATACAGGTAAGTAAGGAAGGAGAAGGAATAAGCAAAGCAAAGAGAACAAGGAAGACAAGAAGTACTAGCCACAAACTGCAAGCTAAGGATCTGTTCCTTGACTCTCTTGCAACGTGCATGATTTGTATTTGTGAAAATTTATCTGCACCCTCTTTCAAACTCTAATAGCAGTGTGAGCAAAAGAGTTATGGTCTGGTGACACTTCTCATTCATTTTGCACAGCTGAAAAAAACGACATAAGGCTCCAAGTAAAGAAAAGTCTGAGTCTCAAAACTCAGTCTCTGTATTGGAAGGCACATTCTAACAGCCAGAGTGATTGTGAAGATGACCACCCACATTGGGAGGTGGCAGTAGCACCATTAGATTTCATCGATTTTCAGGGTGGGAAAGGAACTCAGTAGATCATCGAGTCCAACCCCTTGCCCTGGGCAGGAAGGAGTGCTGGGGTCAGATGACCCCAGCCAAGTGTTTGTCCAGTCTCTTCATAAAGACCTCCAAGGTAGGGAAGAGCACCACCTCACTTGGAAGCCCGTTCCAGATTCTGGTACCCTAACCATAAGCAAGTTCTTCCTAAGGTCTAGTCTAAAATTGCTCTCTGTCAGTCTGTGGCTGTTGTTTCTAGTTGCTCCAAAGGGTGCCTTGGTAAAAAGAATATCTGCTCTTCCTTGCTTCCCATCCCTGACAAATTCGTAGACAACCACCAGACCCCCTCTCAGCCTTCTCTTACAGAGGTGAAGAGAACCAGGTCCCTCAGCCTTTCCTCATAGGACCTATCCTGCAGGACCCTAATCATATGAGTGGCCCTCCTCTGGACCCTCTCAAGGCTATCCACATCCCTTTTCAATTGTGGCACCCAAGACTGAACACAGTACTCCAGATGCAGTCTTATCAGTGCCCCCCATAGAGGGAAAGTGTTACCTCCCAAGACCTGTTCATGGTGCACCTATGAATGCATGACAGAGTGCGGTTAGCTCTATTGATCACTTTGTCGCAATGTTGACTCATATTCATCTTTGATTCAACTATGACTCCAAGATCCCTTTCTGCTGCTGTGCTGCTTAGAAAGCCATCCCCCTATCTGTATGTGTGTTGGTGATTCCCTCTCCAAAGGTGCAGTACTCTGCACTTATCCTTTATGAACTATATCCTATTTTGTTCTGCCCACTTTTCCAGCTTGTCCAAATCCACCGAATCCACTCCTTGCCCTCCAGTGTGTCTGCTTTGCCCCATAATTTGGTGTCATCCACAAATTTGGACAGTGTGCTCGCTAAGGCCTTGTCCAAATCACTGATGAAGATGTTGAACAGCACTGGCCCGAGGACCAAGCCCTGGGGAACACCTCTGCTCATGTCGTTCAAGGTTGATACCAATCCATCCACCACCACTCTGGGTGCATCCCATTAGGCAGTTTGCCACCCAACTGACTGTGTAATCATCTAAGTCACAGCCACTCAGTTTTTTTTATGAAAATGGGATGTGATACTGTATCAAAAACTTTTTTAAAATCCAAGTATCTGACATCCACCTCGACTCCTGCATCTAAGCAGTTTGTGACCTGGTTGTAAAATGAAACAAGGTTTGTCAGACAGGATCGACCTGCTATAAATCCATGCTGGTTTCCCTTCAGCATTGCTTTTCCTGCTGGGATCACACAAACGTGTTCCATAATAATTTTTTCAAAGGTTTTTTCAAGGATAGAGGTGAGATTAACTGGTCTATAGTTATCCAGATCCTCCTTCTTCCACCTTTTGGAAAATAGGCACCACACTTGCCCTTTTCCAGTCCCTTTGGACGTTCTGAGCAGCATGAGTGCTCAAACAGTGTTGTCAGTGGTTCTGCTATGGCATCAGCCAATTCCTGCAGCACCCTTGGATGAAGATCATCTGGGCCTGCTGACTTGAACATGTCAAGCCCTTCCAAGTGCCCCTTCACTAGATCAACAGTAACTGAACCTGGGCGGGTATCCCCTTTGTTCCTGTCTATAGTCCAGTTAGGTCATATGTCTTTCTCTCTGTTCAGGAATACTGATGCAAAAAAGTCATTGAAGAGCTCAGTTTTGTCCCTTCTATCTGTCACTAATTGCACTAGCCTGTCCTGTTGGGGTCCTATGTTACCCTGAACCCTCTTTTTGCTCCCTATATTCCTGAAAAATGACTCTTGTTGTCCTTAATTTGTGTTGCCAGCCTGAGTTCCATTACTGCTTTGGACTTCCTTGCTAACTTCCTGCAAGTGCGAGCCAAATAGGTATAGTCCTCCTTTGCTATCCCCTGCTTCCACAGTTTGTTTGCCTCTTTTTTTATCCCTAGATGAAAGACTACAGATTATATAAGGCTCTTGCGTGAAAATGACCTTCAGGATATTGTAGCTGAAATAACTCTATATGCTACTACAAAAGAAATCTCTATGCTACTATTACTATGCTCAATTATCTGCTTCCTTGAGTTCCCCCAGACAGAAATGTGGAAAACCTACATCAGTTTCACACATCATCCATATAACAGGATTATACAGTATTACAGTACAGGTTCTTGGATACTATGTATCAGGGGTTGTCAAACTTTTTTATTCCAAGTATCCCCAGTGGTCAGATGTGGGGGGAAACGGGGTGGCACGTAGCCAGACAAAGAGCAGGGAGGCGGAGACAGACCACCGCAATCTCCCAGGAGCAGGGGCAGGGTGGAGCAGAGAAGCTCACCAAGCTGGTGGGTGGTGGCAGCGGCCACCGTGTGCCAGCTTCCCCGCCCCGCAGAGGGGCACTGCTGCCCTCACCATGCCCCAGCCCTGCTCCTTGGGGGTGGCGGCGCTCCATCCCTTCCTGCCCACACATATCCCCTAGGACCGTGTCAAGTACCCCTGGCGGGTACTTGGAACCCCCTGCTATATATAGATTAATATAATTTAAGTACCCAAATACAACACCTTATTAAATACAAACTACTTTTGAAATTTGAAAATAAAGTAAATCCTACAAACAGTAAATAGGGAATATGATATTGGGAGAAGTGGACTTAGGCTAATCAAGGGATTCTAAAGATACCGGAATTGGGAATTACACTTGGATTTGTTCGCTCCAAGTGAGCACAACAGTTATAGGAGTTGAAGATATTTCCCCATTTTCATGTTGTTTCACAAGGATGAGAGACATTCTTTTTGAGTCTCATTTCTTCCGTGGCAATTTCCTGACAGGTGGAGGCATGGCTAGTTTCTTACCTGAGCATGTCACTCCAGCATAGAAAGAAGGAGGGCATGTTGACTCCATAATGTACGGAGTTCTCTTGCAATCCCAGACTGATGCCTCGTTACCATGACAAAGAACTCCTGTAACCATGTAGATTCTGGAATCCTCCACAAAATGGCTGGCATCATGGATACTCATTGCAGAGCCACACCCAAGTTGTTTGCAAAGTATCATAAACTGTTTCATATACTCAGCAGCAGAACATATTTTCATCCAGTGATCTCCAAATTTTACCTCTGTTCTGCCAGCACATGGACTGCTACCATTCCTCAGCTTCACGTCATTGATTATGCCTTGAAATAGAGAAGCAAGACAGAATTACTGAAGAGCACACTGAGTCACATACCATGGCTATTATTACTCATGCTCATTAATCAGCATTTGCCCAATATTATGTGAGATAAATACCAGTGGTGTATGGCTTTGTCGTTCACCACGAAATGTTGCCTGGTTTTCTAGCATAGTCACTATCTCTAATTTTGACTACTGGCTAGAAAGCAAAAAACTGGGAGCCAAGAAGTCATTTTATTCAGACTAGGTGCATCTACACATGCATTTATGCTGCATTAAATTGACCACTCAGTAATTTACTGTGCAGTAACCTGAATAAGGTCAGCATCTACATGTGAAGGTGACCTGGGACTAGATTAAGTCCCAGGTCAGAGTAGCCTACCATGTGCCTCTGTGATCACTAGGGGGAGCTCTGGCCTCTGATCACATGTCTGCTAGCACTTGGCAGCCATTCTGAGGCCAGAGGGAGCTGCCAGAACTTGACAGTCATCTTAAAAGCACAATCTCACCTTCTGATCCCTGCTCAGCCCCAAGGTGGGGAGGGAAGGGGGCTGAGCAGGGATCAGAGGGTGAGATTGTGCTTTTAAGATGTGCTGCCAGGGAGCTGCTATATGGTGGCAGGCAGGATCCAGGGTTCCTCTGGGGCTGGGGCTGGAGTTGTGGGCCAGGTGCAGGGAGGCATGGTCACAGACTCCCCTGCATGGCCCTGGGCATCCAGTTACTGCTCCAGCCGCTCCATGTACCACCACTCCAGAATCACCAGCTCAAGGGTCCAGGGATGCCACCACTCCAGGATCCCCACCACTCTTGCACCTGCGCCTCCTCCTGGGGAGCCTCCCGGGTGAGGTCCTCCTCCCACCACACCCAATAGTCAGCCACCCAGCCCCCCACTGCAACTATCAGCCACCAGAGTAGGCAAGTGGCTCCAACAGCAAATAGCAAAACTTCAGCAGTGGTGCTGCAGGCCCCTGTGCCCTCTCCCTTGTGTCCTGATGTTGGCCTGCAGAGGCAAGAGACAGAAGGCTTTTGTGAGAGTTTGCAACATTTGAAAGATAAGATGCCCTGGTCCAGGGCATCCAGGTCCAGGGGCCCTGCACTGCCTGGCCTCATATTGGAG